GGTTGGATGTGTGGTATCATTTGAGGAAAAAAAATTCCCTGGGTTTCAGAAGCATGTCCAGGCTGTAGCCTTTGGTCAGCTACAGCCCTTTCACCCACCTTGATCTCCAATGGTTCCCAGGCTTCGCCTGGCACGGTAGCCCTTGTTAAGTAGTACTGCAGCCCCATTCCCCCATCTCTTGCACCCCTTTAGACTTTTTTCCCCTTTGTGAGCATTCTGAGTGAGCCGGAGCTGAGGACTGCGAGTGTTTCTGTTGATCTTGGGGAGAAAAATGTCTGAGAGGTGATTGGGCTTACTGGGCTCTGTCCTTTGGGGGCAGGACTTAAGTGCCAGGGGGGTGCATGGGGTGGGTCACCACTGCCAGGTCCTCTTGCTTTTGCTCTGGATGCAGACTCAAGTTTCTTTATGGGCCAGTGAAGCTGTCTCCCAGGTCATCACCCATTAGGTCTCTGTTCTGGGGCACTGAGAATATCAGCTGGATCATACTCGAGAGATGCCATAATTGTTTTTGAGTCATTCGCTTGGGTTTTATTTCAAGAGAACAAGATGCCAACCAGATGGAGATGGTTTCCAAGAAGTAGCTTCTCAGCTGTTTCCCACTCATCACTTCTATGAGCAGAAAATGAAGTGTTTGCAGTCTTAGTTTGCACATTGTCATATTTCCTCAGCACCACTGAGAACAAAAAACATGACTTCCTTTCTTTAGGCCATCCAGGTGTCTGGAGAGTATTAACACTTGGCTGGGACTCATCTCCACAGCCTTCTCCAGGACAGGGCTCTGGCGGAGTCTGACAGCCCAGCCTGTGGGTGAATCTAGAGGCACCTTCTGTCCATGGGTCTGTGGCACTGGGGGTAGGAGGTGTGTACAGGATAGACACAGGCAGTTGGACTGGCCCAGCCTCTGTCTCTGCACCCTGGCATATTGTTGCCAGAACTTGCATATCTTCTTGGCATAAAAGATGGGGCATCTGTTCTTATGGTGGATCTCTGCATTGCATAAATGTAGTGTTTCCAAGCTGCTCCTTGGAGTCCAGGGTGTCTGTAGCCTACAGTCTGAGTCAGGCTGAGTGGCTCCTTGGCTGCGGCCCCAGGGCCTCTCCATTGATTTTCCTGTGCCAGGTTGGACCTGGACTTGGGCCAGAGCACAGGTCCCTCATCTGGGGCCAGGAGGAATATAGACAACCCTTCCTACTCTATCACCTTCTGTACAGATCTTTTCAGGCAGATCCTGTGGTACCAACCAAGGCTTATGGTGACTTGCCTTTCTTAGGCAGTGGACATATTAAAGAGGTCATTGTGGCTGCTGACACTGAGCCAGGGGACGCTGAGATGGCAGAGGCCCCGGTTAGTCCCAACCATCACGGGATTGAGCTTGCTGTGGAGGGTGAGCAGGCACAGGCCAAGCTGCTGGTGAACAAGGATGGCCGCTATGTGTGCATGCTGTGTCACAAGACCTTCAAGACGGTGAGCCCCTGGGGCCAAGGGCTGCCAGGCCTCCTGCCTTCTCCTATCCTGGGAGGTGCCCCAAGCCTTACTGCCCTTCCCTTGCAGGGCAGCATCCTCAAGGCCCACATGGTCACCCACAGTAGCCGCAAGGACCATGAGTGCAAGCTCTGTGGGGCCTCCTTTCGGACTAAGGGCTCACTCATCCGGCACCACCGGAGGCACACAGGTGAGCTGCTACATCTTAGCCAGCCTTGTGGGTGCCCTATCCCTGGCCTGTGTAAAGAGGCGGGGCCCTGTGGCTGCCTTCCCTTTGTCATAGGGTCACACAGGCTGTTGTCTACTGAAAGCTGACTGTTCTCTCCACAGACGAGCGTCCATATAAGTGTGCCAAGTGTGGGAAGAGCTTCCGGGAGTCCGGTGCATTGACTAGGCATCTCAAGTCTCTCACTCCATGCACAGAAAAAATTCGCTTTACCATGAGCAAGGATGTGGTTGTGAGCAAAGAGGATATGCCTACAGGTCAGCATGGTAGGATCTTCCTGGGTATTTGGGGCTGCTGTTTCTAGCCTTGACCCCCTGGCCTAGGTACCACTGCTCAGGGGAAATGCTTAAAGAGCTCACTCAATTCTGCCTTAAAGGCTCAGGTGCCTCCACCATGGGGACGGTTACATCTGCATCAGTGACAGGCGAGCCTATGGAGACGTCGCCGGTGATTCATCTGGTGACAGATGCCAAGGGCACTGTCATCCACGAAGTCCATGTCCAGATGCAGGAACTGCCGCTGGGCATGAAACCCATGGCCCCAGAGGTAGGGTAACTGTCCACTCTACCCTCTGCCCCTTATCCATTTTACCTTCCCTGTGCTCTGAGCACTGACTCCAGTAGGAATAGGCAATTAGAGCTGCTGGCAGGAGTTCAGTCTGCCTACTGAGTAAACTAAAGAGCTCCTTGGATGGTAGGTAGCATGCCAGAGGGTAGGGAACAGGTGAGGGGGATGAGTGAGCAGGGGCAAGGTAAGAGTGAGAACCGGGCTCCACCTAGTGAAAGCAAGATAGCTAGGGTTAGGAGGCTGGGAGTACATCATAGGGCTCTGAAGGTACACAGTACCTCTGGGTCCCCTGGATCTGGTGTGGGTCTGCACTGCCTCTCACTTCTTTATCTCAGCCTCCAGGCTCCGAGGAGCTTTCCTGTTCTACTGAGGGCAGCCGAGAAAACCTGCTGCATCAGGCTATACAGAATTCTGGCATCGTTCTTGAGCGGGTCACTGGGGAGGAGAGTACCCTTGAGCCAGCTCCACCCTCTGGGTCTAGTCCACAGTCCCTGGGAGATGGACCTCCCGAACTCCCACTATTGGAGGTGCATCAGATGGAAACAGTAGGTGTCTCTTCCTGGTATCCTTCTGGGTGCTGGACATGGGAATTTGGTCATGATGGTGCCTATGTTCCCTGCAGTGGATAGTAGCACTGATTTATTACCCTCCCTGGGGCCATGAGGGAGCTGGCTGGGGTGGCTGAGGCACAGCCTGCAGCGGGTGCTGGATACCTGCTTGTGGTCGCCCCAGCAGGTGACCAATGAGGCCTCCACTGTGCCCAGAACCCACCCATGTCCTCAATGCAGTGAGACCTTCCCAACAGCCGCCACCCTGGAGGCTCACAAGAGAGGCCATGCAGGTGGGTGCTATGAGGGCAGGTAGGTCCATGGACAGAGGCGCCTGGAGGCAGCCAGGATGGCCTGTGCTTCTGCAGTGGGTGGCCAGATGAGCCATGGGTGGCAGGTCTGGCTGATATTGTGTGTGGTCCTAGGGCCGAGGCCATTCCCTTGTGCGCAGTGTGGCAAGGCCTTCCCCAAGGCCTACTTGCTCAAGAAGCACCAAGAGGTACATGTGCATGAGCGCCGCTTCCGTTGTGGGGACTGCGGGAAGCTGTACAAGACCATCGCCCATGTGCGTGGCCACCGGCGTGTTCACTCTGACGAGCGGCCCTTCCCTTGTCCCCAGTGTGGCAAGCGCTACAAGACTAAGGTGGGACCCTGGTGTCTGACTCAGTTGTGTGGCCCTGGGACTAGATGTGCCTCTTTTATTCCTGCTTCCCCCACTGCCCTCAGCCTGCTCAGTCTGTGCCTTTCAGGCCCAGAGGTGGGTGGGGATAGCCGGGGTCTGCTTTGGCTGAGACCAGGCTGGCATGGACTGGTGTCCACAGAATGCCCAGCAGGTACACTTCCGGACACACCTGGAGGAGAAGCCACATGTGTGCCAGTTCTGCAGCCGAGGTTTCCGGGAGAAGGGGTCACTGGTGAGGCATGTACGGCACCACACAGGCGAGAAGCCCTTCAAGTGCTACAAGTGCGGCCGTGGTTTTGCTGAGCATGGCACGCTCAACCGGCACCTGCGTACCAAAGGTCTGGGCTAGTGGGTGGTGAGAGGCATGAGGGCAGGGGGTTGCCTGACGGTGACTGGGCTTCGCTGTCCTGGCAGGGGGCTGCCTACTGGAGGTGGAGGAATTGCTGGTGTCTGAGGAGAGCCCCTCAGCAGCTGCCACTGTACTGGCAGAGGACCCCCACACTGTGCTAGTGGAGTTTTCATCTGTAGTGGCTGACACACAAGAGTACATCATTGAGGTGGGTGTGGGGCTGGTGGGGCCCGGATAGGGCCCAGGGTAGTCCATGCTGACTTCTGACCATCTGTCCAGGCCACTGCAGATGATACGGAGACTAGTGAAGCTACAGAGGTTATCGAGGGCACCCAGACAGAGGTGAGGAACCTGGCAAGGGTGGGAGGCTGGTCTGGCCTCTTGAGCAGTCTCTTGGGCTGAGCTCTGGTTCCTGCAGGTGGACAGCCACATCATGAAGGTGGTACAGCAGATCGTGCACCAGGCCAGTGCTGGGCATCAGATCATTGTGCAGAATGTGACCGTGGACCAGGAGGCAGGGCTGGGCTCAGAGGCAGCCTCTGCAGACACCATCACCATTGCCACTCCTGAGAGCTTGACAGAGCAAGTGGCCATGACACTGGCCTCAGCTATCAGTGAGGGTACTGTGCTTACAGCCCGCACAGGCTCCAATGGCACTGAACAGGCCACTGTGACAATGGTGTCATCAGAGGACATTGAGATTCTTGAGCATGCAGGCGAGCTGGTCATTGCTTCACCAGAGGGCCCACTTGAGGTACAAACAGTCATCGTCTAGCATGGGGCCTGCAGGCTCTCGCTGGCTAGGGGAAGGGGCAGGACAGAGTAAGGATCCTCAGTGCCCACCCATGCCTGGTCTGGTAGAGAACACAGCCTGGAATTTCAGGCATCCAAAGGAGATGGTATGTAAATATGTGGAAATTTTTTGTTGCTTTACAATAAAACATGAAAACTTGCAGCTTGTGATGTTGTGGAAGTGACCTTTGGAGATGACTTCTGGTGATACCTGCCAGCACAAGCAACACTTGTTCAGATGTCTGGCCACCTGCCCAGGAGTATTGCCAGCCTTGGTGGCTCCTCTGGCGCGTGGGTGTCTCTGGCATGTTGACAGGCAGCATCTTGCCACTGCTCTTCCCAGCTGGAAATAGGACCTCAGCTTCTCCAGGCCTGCTGGAGTTGGGGAAAACTGGTGCTGCTTTCTGGCCTCCTACTAGGGCTGCCATGGGTTGGTTTCTGAGGCTGAGACCCAGGAACCTCAAGTTGAACTGAACAGCTGCAGCATTTCACCCCAAGGTGAGGACAAGTGTAGGCAAAGCAGCAGGGGATGTTGGGCCAGGAATGGGGCTGGTCTTTCCTGACTGCCTGTCTTCCCAAGAGGATATGGCTCAAGGAGGCAGATTCTAGGTGACCTAGTTTCTGGGGAGGCGGAGATGAGAACAAGGATTGGGCTATAGGTGTGGCTGCCCCTTTTCTGAAGTCCTGAGGCTGTCCTTATGGGGTCTCCAGGGGCTTCCTAGGTGTTTCTGGGACAAGTCTGGGGTACTACAATTGGTTTAAGATACCTGTCCCTTGCCTTCTGGGGTTTTGGCATGTATTCTATAAAGGAGGCGGGACGCAGTGGAGCCCTGCCCCTTCCTGGAGCAGTGCCTCAAATACCCATCAGTGCTCTTACATCAGAGCTCCTGGGCCAGGGCAGTAGTCTGTCCAGGGCTACAACAGGCCCCATCCTGGACCTCAAGTCCCCACTTGGACTAGTACCACAGAGCCTCTGACACTACTTAATCTACTTCCCAGGTAAGTCTTGGAACTGGGTCGAGCTGGAGACTGGGAATAGGGTCCTTGCATTTACAGCTTCACTGGTGCAGTAGAAGTTCCATCACAGGCTGAGAGGCTGATGTACCACTGGGAGTGGAGGGGCTGGACTGACCTGGAGAATATGAGTGAATGTGCTTTCTCCCAAGGCCAGTGCTTGGGTCAGATCTAGCAGACCCTGGTGAGGTATGGTCAGGGTTATTACTTGCAGGCTGTCCCTGACCCTTTCAGCTTCTGCCATGGGTGGGCCTGGAATTCTGCTGGTGGCAGTCTGGGTGCTGAGGTTTGTAGGGTCTGCAGCGCTGCGTGTTGGAGCCTTCAACGTCCAGAGCTTTGGCGACAGAAAAGTGTCGGACCCAGTCTGTGGCAGTGTCATTGCACAAGTAAGGCCAGAAGCATAACTGGGGATGATGGGGGAGGAGAGGGCAGACAGGGCTCTGGGGCATGTTTGACAAGCTCTTCAACCTGACTCCTCCCTAGATCTTGGCTGGCTATGACATCATGCTTGTGCAGGAGGTGCGGGACCCAGACCTGAGCGCTGTCACAGTGCTCTTGGAGCAGATCAACAGGTGAAGGAGACCCCTGTGTGAACCTTCAATCTTGATAATCTCAGAAAAGCACTTGACATAAGGGCCTGACCCTTCCCTTCACAGTAAGTCCAAACATGAATACAGCTTTGTGAGCAGCAAGCCACTGGGTCGGGACCACTACAAGGAGATGTACCTGTACATATATAGGTGAGATGAGGGGGTACAGGGAGGAGTGTGCAGGGTCCAGGTGATAGGCTCCGCGGACCACCAGGCCTCTTCTCTCAGGAAAGACACAGTGTCAGTCGTGGAGACGTATCAATACTCAGACCCAGAAGATGTCTTCAGCCGAGATCCTTTTGTGGTCAAATTCTCCACCCCCAGCTGTGGTGAGATTGGCTCCATCCTTCCTGGAGTCCCTGTCCTGAAGGCCACACCCTGACAGGTTCCTTCTCCCTCAGTCCCAACCCCCACCCTGTAATGCTGCCTTGTTTCCTCCCCATGACACAGCTGCCAAAGAGCTGGTGTTAATCCCATTGCACGCAGCGCCTCACCAGGCTGTTACGGAGATTGATGCCCTTTATGATGTATACTTGGATGTTATCAACAAGTGGGGCACTGATGTAAGCTCCCTGCCGGTTTTTGTTTTTTTCTTGGTGGGTTCTGGGAATCGAACTCAGTATCTTGCACTTGCCAGATAGGCACTGTACCCCTGAGCCATACTCCTAGCCTTGCCTCGTTCTTGGTCCCTTGGTCCTGTTGGTGCATGCCAGGGGTTTGAGTCACTAAGCTAGTGACTTCAGTGGCATCCACAGGACATGCTGTTTCTGGGTGACTTCAATGCGGACTGCAACTACGTTCGGGCACAAGACTGGGCAGCCATCCGCCTGCGCAGCAGTGAGATCTTCAAATGGCTCATCCCTGATAGTGCTGACACCACAGTAGGCAACTCGGACTGTGCCTATGACCGCATTGTGGTGTGCGGTGCCCGTTTGCGCAGGACCCTGAAGCCCCATTCGGCTGCCGTGCATGACTTTCAGGAGGAATTCGACCTAGATCAGGATCAGGTGAGTGGGCCATGCTGGCACTGACTGGGAAGAGGGGCCAGGATACAGTTTCTGTTTCCCCAGTCCCACTTGCGAAGGTGATTAGTCTCAGGTCTAAAGACCCTTAGCCCTGCCAACAGGGGGTGTTTGCGGAGTCCTCTGCTATTCCTACACAGGAACCAATTGTGGACCTATAAACAATAATGGGGTGGACACCTAGGCCATATTGGCCCCTATGCCACAGAGAGTGGTTTGCAGATAATTATTGGACTCATTGTACTGCAGGACTGCTGAGTCTCTGCTCTTCCCTCCTTCCAGGCTCTTTGCGTCAGTGACCATTTTCCCGTGGAAGTGACCTTCAAATCCCACTAACAGCCTGCCTGAAGAACTGGCTAGGGAATGCCATCTGCAGACTTAGGCCACAAAGAGTAGCACCACAGAGGCCGTTGAGGATGCAGGGCAGGGTCACCTGGACACATTATAGGACTACTTAGGGCATCTCAGTTTCCCTATCTGTAAGTCAGACTAACATTATCTACCTCTGAGGGTTGTTGTGAGAAATACCTACAAATGGTGCTGCTCTGTGCAGTGCTTCCCACAATCTCTTAATAAACAAGGTGCTCTCAGCTAGGATCATACAGGTTGGCTCTAAGGCTTCTGTCTTAGGACCCAGCTCTTCTCAGACCCAATCCTCTTTGGGCCTACTGCCCAGTGGGTCAATGGTCCCAGCTGACTTGGGGAAGACAAAGGGCCTGTCCTGCCCACTTTTTATTCTGGTGGAAACTTACAACCTCTTGACATACTAACCCTGAAGAAACACCTGTTCTCTTTCCTGTGCCAGCTGTGAATACCTTCAAAAGCCTGCTCCATGAGTATAGCTGGCGTGGTATTACACCACACAACAGCTTTCTGGCCCTTGATATTTCAGAACAGGCTTTTATGTCCATCCTCCTATCAGGGACTCATCTGAATCAGAGGTCCTACTTCACCCAGTTCTGTAAGAAGTCAGGGAACCTGGCCACACGTCTCCAGCCAGTCATCTGCCCCGGGACTTTTGGGGAGTTCTTTGGGTCTCTCTCATGCCACACATGTGGCTTAAGGGTAAGGTTCTGCCCAGAGACTACATACCTTGCCTGGGCACAGGTCTGTGTGGTTTTTTTCCCCAGCAGTCCCAGTTTGGGTGAGGACTTGCTAGAGGGTGAGCCTCTGTGCCTGGGGTGAGCCCATCACCTCAGGAACAGAAACAAGCAGTTTTTAGAAACTTGATGAGGTTTCTAGATTTTGAAACAGCTCATCTTTGGGAGAATTTGGAAACTGGCCTACATCATCTGGAAAGGAAAGTCTTTGTTTAAAGAGTTTAACAAGTTTGGTTCTTCCAAAATCTTTTTAAAATAAGATTCAGAATTTTGACAGTAGTGCATGCCTCAGACATCCAATGCTTTGGGTGGATCCTCTCCATGCTCCCCAGGATCATCTGAATAGCCACATACTCCCTCCATCTAACTGAAGAAATATGATACAAAAAGAATTTTTCTCTGGGAGAGGAGGTCCTGTGAGTCTTACTTCATCTTTTTTGTTTTTTTGACTCTTACTTCATCTTAAAAAGCCTCCAGCAAGTAAGTAGCCAAAGGTTAGGGATGATACAACCTGAAGACTTTATTCATAATGCTGTGTTGGGAAACCAGACAGTGTCTTGTCTGGACCCACAAGGACCCACCTGTCATTAAATCCAAAATCCAAACACTGCTCTTCAAGCCCTCTAGCCTTCCCACACCAGGTACAAAGGCACTTATGATAGTGGGCCACAAGAGATGGGACTCTCGTAAGATCAGGAAAACAGAGGTGAGCGAATTGAAAACTACTTTTGTTTAAAATCCCCTTGGAATCACAGGAGAAGCTGTGTGGCAATCTTGCCTTAGTGTTTCTTTTGTTTGAGCTTTTCTAAGTACACTTGCAGGGACTTCTGGATGGAGTCTCTGGAGACGAAGCTGACAAAGTTCTGGATGTCAGCTTCCCGCTGTTTGATCAGGTTGTCTGCTGTGGCCTTCCGCATCATGCTCTTGGTCAGCTGCCGAGCATGGTCTAAGGAGAATGAGGTTGCTGAGACAGTGGGGTCATTCCCAATCTTTCTCAAGCATTCAGACAGAAACCTGAGAACTTAGCAAATACAATAAAACTAAAATCTCCTATACCCATGGCCCACTGATTTTCCTAAAAACCATAGGGTGATATTGTAAAAATTGTCTTTTTAAACGATATTTTTATTATGGAAAATAACCTTCATCATCAAATATTTGCTCATCTCTCTGTATCAGAGGGTTCACAATTTTTCTTTTTTTTTTTTTGTCTTTTTCCTTTTTATCAGTACCGGGGATCGAACTCATGACTCCCTGCTTGCAAGGCAGGTGCTTATGCCGCTGAGCTAAACCTCCAGCCGCGCTCCCCGCCTTTTTTTTGAGACAAGGTCTCACTATGTAGTTCAGGCTGGCCTCGAATTCATGGGAGTGGGGGAGGTGTGGAATCCTGCCTCACCTTCCCCAGTGCTGGGATTATAGGCATATGCCACCATGTCTGGCTGTTTTCTTTTTAATTAGTTGGAAAAATTCAAAGGATATTTTGTGATGTAAGAAAAATGTGATACTTTCTGGGGGTTGCAATGCATACCTGTAATCCCAGCACTTGGAAGACTAAGGTAGGAAGATTATCTCAAGTTTGAGGTCAACCTGGACTACATAGTGAGTTTAAAGAGAGCCTGTTTCTTTCTTTTAAATTTTTATCAGTACCAGGGATTGAACTCGCAACCTTGCGCTTGCAATGCAGGTGCTTATGCCGTTGAGCTAAATCCCCAACCCATAAAGAGAGCCTGAAGAGAAAGGTAACAGTGGAGCTTCTGTGTCCCTACAATCTCACTGACACATGGTCACACATCATTATGTGTTCCTTGCAGTGTGTCCTGCCAGGACCCAGTTCAACAGAGAGACCTTGTGACCTAAAAAACTGACAATGTCCCTGGTTTTTCAGACAAAATCTGCTGCCCTAGTCTCTATCATTGTTGATATGACCATTCCTACTCTATACACAGTCTGGCAAGTTTCCAGCTGTCTTATCGAGGACTTCCAGAAAGATATGTTCAAGTCCTAACCATTCTCCTAGAACATGTAAATGTGACTTTAATCTGAAAAAGGTCCCTGCAGATGTAATTAAGACATTCATTTTAGGGGCTGCGGGTTTAGCTCAGTGGCATAAGCGCCTGCCTTGAAAGCAGGCAGTCGTGAGTTCGATCCTCGGTACCGATAAAAAGGAAAAAGACAAAAAAAAAAAAAAAAAAAAAAGACATTCATTTTGGATACAAGGAAGACCTTATTCCAGTGGCAGGTATCTTTTGAAGTGAAAAGACATTTGAGACAGACGGGAGGACACATAAGAAGGCAAAGATGAGTAATGTGGCCACAAGCTGAGGGATGGAGCCAGAATAAGCTGGAAGAGTCAAGTGAGCCTCACCATAGCCTTGATTGGGGGGGGGGGGAAGTGTTACTGAGAATTAACTGAATTCAGGATCTCATGTTTGCCAGGTAAGCACTGTGCCACTGAGCTATATCCCCAGCCCTTTCCTCAGAATCTTTATGTGGGAGAACTGGTATCACTAGGATGCATCATCAGGCTGAGGAGAAAGATTCCCTTTCCTATGAATACCTGCAACTGCCCATTCCCCTCAAGCTCCTCACCTGGAATGGCCAGCCATTCAGTCATCACTGAAAGTGCTGTGCTCTGTACCTGGTCCTCAGGAACCACCTGGTCCACCATGCCCACCTGAAGGGCCTCTGTTGGTTGGAAGAGCAGCCCCAGCTGCAGGGCATGCTCTGCGGCTCGGTGTCCAATGGTGTTCACAAGGACGTCTTTAAACCTAAAATGCAGATGCCTGCTCACCTCTGGCCTCTGGGGCTCCCAGCAGGTTCTGTTTAGCTCAGGGTCAAAAGCAGTGTGGGTGCAGCCCCTGGCCTTACCAGAAGGGGGCAACGATGCCCAGCAGAGTCTCATTTAGTCCTATTCGGTAACGAGGGTTGTCAGCTAGGACCCGGTAGTCAGAGGAGAGGGCCATCAGGCAGCCTCCTGCAGGGGAAGCTCCCTGCAGAGAGGAGAGACAGTTTGGAAGTGCCACTGGTCCCAAGTGTACCCCAGATAACAGGGGTCAGAGTAGAGCCCAGGAAGGATGAGTGGGTGGGCATAAGCTCTCAGAGTGCCCCCCAGCCCCACTGGGGGATGCACCAACCATTCACATTGGATGTGCACAATGAAGCAAAGGACCAAGAAGGAACTCTGACACCTCTGAGGACTCAGCAGCAGGGATCTCAAGAAGGGCTGAGGCTTGCCCATCAACTCAAGGGCCCCTAAAGACAGGACCATCAGCTTTTAGGGGCCAGAAAAATCTGCTACTGAGGACAGCAAGTTGCTTTTCCTTTTATAGTTTTCATCTGATGCTACTGCTCCAAACAAGCATTTAGCTAGGGCTGGCATTTCATGTCAGGGCCCACAGGGTCCCATTACCATCTCCAACAGCCAACCCCACTAGGGTGTCCTGAAACCCAAACTCATTCTGTGTCATCATATTAGCCCCACACTGCCCCAAACAGAAACAGCAGGTCATCAGTGTGTCCTCTTTAGCATCCCTATCCTGTCTTACCATGATACTTGAAATGAGGCCACTAACTTTCATGTTGTCTTTTTCTTCCTCATGACATGCTGCCTTTCTTGGTTAGTCACAGTTACCTGCTCAAAGCACAGTTCCAGAGCCCTGTTTGTCTTCTTCAGCTTCCCATGTTTCCTAGGTCTGGTTAGGGTGAGGGTCCCAAAAGGCAGACCTTGTCCACCACTTGCTCCACCATAGCTTCTTAGTGGGCCAGGCCCTGGTCCCTATCTACTAGCTCTTTTGTGTGTCATATCTGACTAGCTCAGGCTGGTGTCTGCCCCTACTCCTGGGCTGGTCTCAAGAGTCAGGGAGACCTCACGGGGTAGAGACACTCACATTGATGGCAGCAACCAGGACCATGTTGGACAGGTAGAGCTTCAGCCACGTCTCCTGTATGGCCCTCCAGTATTCAGCATAGTGGGCTAGGTTCTTCCCACACATCTCCCTCAAGTCCAGGCCAGCTGAGAAGATGCCAGGACAGTCCTAAGAGAAGCAGTCAGAGCAAGGTATTCATCAGAGTTCATTGTATCACCAGACACCGGATTGGGCAGGGTGCTGCCTCCAAGAAGTGAAGACCTGGGGGCTCCAAGGACATAGTCTAGACCTCCCTGACCCAGCCTCCTGTTTCTAGGATATGCTTCCCTTTCCAGCTTCAAACTGGAAGCAGCAGAACAGGTAGATACCAGCTCTCTGCACATATAGGCTAATACCTCCATATGTCCAGTTCTGTCATCCAGGGTGAGAGTTCAGGTACAGTGAGGACTCTGGAAGCTCTGGGACAAGTACCTTCCCTTATACAAGGTCAAGTAAGGCCAAGAGGTGCTGGGATAGAAAACTGACCCAGAAGGCATGTGGTCCCTGGTGGATGACCCACGTCCCAACACAGCTAGCCAGGAGTAGGTGGGAAGAACACAGAAGAGACTGCTAGGCTGTCAGGAAGGAGGTGAGCAGATTAGTGGGATGCAGCAGGTAAACACTAAATCTTGGGCATTTGGTTGAAGGGCTGTTGGCCAGGAGTACATCCCAGGGAGAACATCCCATAATGGGGCTCCCATGGGCCATGGTACCTTCCTCATGCCTTTCCATCCATGGTGGATTTCCTGGGATATGTTATCAGACACAGTCTCACCTATTCTGATTCCCAGATAGAAATGGATGGCCCATGGGGCAAATGTTTGCCCCATGCTGTTTGTAGCAACAAGGACTGACAACCTCACGGGTGTGTGGAGGAACAAGAACAGAGACAATGGATGGCCACACTCTGTAGCCTTAGATGTAATGAAGAAGTCATAGCATGAGGCATGGAATGATTTCATTCTTCTCATTGTGCTCATTTGTGTACTATACTGGGCTGATCTTTTTTAGGTTTCCATGAATAATGTTTTTGTTTTGTTTTTAACTGAAACCAAACAGAGATCAAAAGATAAGGTATGGTTAAAACTAAATTTAGCTATTTCTTTCTGTTTTTTGGTACCAAACTCACAACCTCATGCTTTCCAGGCAGGTGCTTATGCCACTGAGCTAAATCCCAGGCCCCAATTTAGCTATTTCTGATTGGACTGGTTCAGGGAACCACAAGTCACCACTCGGTGCTGACTGTACAAAATGGCAGAAGGGATAGAGCAGAGGTGATGACATTCATGTGACTTGGTAAAAAAAAAAAAAAAAAAAGCGCTTTATTCTGGATGTTCAAGAAATAATTAGTCAGGAATGGTGGCACATGCCCCTAATCCCAGCACTTGGGAAGCTGAGGCAGGAGGATCACCCTAAGTTCAAGGCTACCCTGAGCTACACAGCAGCAGATCCTGTTTAAGAAAAAAAAAAAAAAAAAAAAGTGACATATTACTGGGGTTACCACTTGCCAAAACGACTAGGAATAGCTGACATGGATAGCTGATTTGTAGAAACTAGGAACATACCTGTTGTTGGCTGAACTATGTCCTCTAAAGTAATATGCAAGCCCTTACCCCAGTATCCATGAATATGGTTTTATGTGGCTATTAGAGGTGTTATCAAGCAGAGTGATGAGTACACCTTTATCCAAGTATTCTGAGAGACTGAGGCAGAAAGATAGCAAGTTCAAGCCCAACCTGGGCAACTGCGTGATTCAGTGAGCCTTGTCTTAAAATTAACAAGGGCTGTGGATGTAATCAGTGTGAAGGCCTTAGATTCAACCCCTAGAACTTCAAAAAGAGAAGATTAAAAAACAAAACATGCTATCAAGTAACGATAAGGCAGACTGGATTAGGGTAGGCCCTGAGTCTAATGACAGATGACTTTATAACAGAGGGTAACTTGAGCTAGTCCTAGTGGCAATCAGGGAGGCTAAGCAGGAGGCTAAGCAATTGATAAATTGACAATTTATCAATTTAGTGAAATCCTCTCTCAAGATAAAAACTAAGAAAAACAGGCTGAGGATGTACTTAAGTATGATAGCCCTGGCTTCAATCCTCAGTACAACAAAAGAGAAAGAGAGTGGGAAGGGGAGAAGAAAGGGAATATAAACACAAAGACACAGCCACAGGCATAGGGATGGCAGAAGCTATGAATACTCTGGAGGCTGAGGCAGGAAGATGAAGCTGGAGTCTAGCCTGGGCAATTTAGCGAGACTCTGTCTCAAAATTACAAAGAAAGAAAAAGAGATAGGAATATAGTTGAGTGTGAAGGACTTTGGTTCAATTCCCAGGGCTAAAAAAAATGGGTTTTTAAAAATGAAGTGACAGCCTAGGCCTGGTGGTGCACACCTGTAATCCTAGTCCTTGGCATTCAGTTTCTTTTTTTCTCTTTTTTTTGGTACTGAGGATTGAACTAATGACCTCATGCTTGCCTGGCAGGCATTTATGCCACTGAGCTAAATCCCCGGCAACCCCAGCATTTGAAGTGTTTGAGGCCAGCCTGGAGTACAAAGTGACTTCTTCAAAGCCAGCCTGAACTGCATAGTGAAACCTTGTCTCAAAAGAAAAAAAAGTAAATAAATAAAACTTTGAATGGTGATAAATTTCAGGACCAATTCAAGTGCAAAAGACCTGGGTAGCTACCATCCTAGCAAAGGTCCTTGGAATTCTGACATCTCCAATCTACCCAGTATCACTGCTTTCCTACCCACAGGGTTGTAATGGGTAATCTCTTCTCCAGAGGGTATTTATACCTCTTCCCCACTTCTACTACAATCAACAGGATGTCCCAAGGAACAGAGCTGACACCAGATCCGAAGGTCACCACTTCTTTGGATGAAGTCCCTGGCATTTGCAGCGCTTGGAGCAATGCTGGAATTTAGACAGATGTAAAGTTTGCCCTCTGAGAATATGAGTTAAGTGGGACCCAAACATCAGCGGTGTGCTGGCTTTCTAGACACATACAAGAGGGATTGGCTCAGGTACCAGAGTCCCCGAGGGTAAAGCAGCCTAGAAGCCACTGAGTTCCTTAGGGTCAGCTTCCTATGAAGCATCATGGGCTCTAGAATGCCTTTGCAAAGACCTGGGTCCCCTATGGTTCCAATCCAGGCTGTGGAGCACCGCAGTACTTCTCAGGTCTACCCTGACAACTAAAGGCCTGGCAAATGGCCTTGAGCTTGGTCTGCCTTCAGGAAAATGACCTGCCTGAATTCACTAGTACAATCAAACCTGATTGACTGGGGACTATGCTATCTAAAAGCCTCCAGGGGGCAGGGGCTGCTTGATTTACTCTGTCATGTGACAGCTGGCTTCAGCTTTTCCCAGTGGCCCTGAGCAAGCACCTACCGAAGTTAAGATGAGGCCTCGGTAGGTCTTGTCATTCTCCAGCTTCTCCAAGCAGATGATGAACTCTGTCAGAAACTCCAGGGAAAGGCTATTCACTGGAGGGTTCTTGAATTTTATTGTAGCAATTCCTAGTTTAAAGAAGGAGGAAGAAAAACCCCACATCCAGCATGGGAAAAGTGCTCTGGCCAGGCTCTACCCTCATCCAGGACATGTAAAACTGTACAATTCTGGGGTTTTAAAAACTTAGGGGAGCTAGGAGAAAACCTAGCATTTGGTAGGCTGAGGCAGAAAGACTGTAGTTTGAGGCCAACCTGGGCTATATAACAAGTTAAAACCCAGCCTGGAGTACAGTGAAATCCTGTTTCAAAAATCAAAACAAATAAAAACAAAAGGAGAAGCCAGGTGTGGCAGTGCACTTCTGTACTCCTACCACTCAGGAGGCAGAAGCAAGAGAATTACCACCAGACTGAAGGCCAGGACGGGCTACATGTGAGTTCAAGGCCAGCCTGAAGTACACAGGGAGACCCTGTCTCAAATAACACAAAACAAAAATACACCAACATAACTGAAGGGAAGTCAGGTGTGGTGCTACAAGTCTGTAATCCCAGCAATCTAGGAGGCTGAGACAGGAAGATCAAAAGTTTGAGTATAGCCTGGACAATTTAGACCCTTACTCAAAAATATAATAAAAAATTTTAAAAAGCATGCTCAGTGATATGGCCTTGGGTTCATTTTCTAGAACAGAAAAATAAAACAAAAACCTAGAGATGAGATTTACATAATACAAATCAATCAATCTACGTTTCTTTTTTTTTTTTGGTACCGGGGACCGAACTCATGATTTGTCACTTGCCAGGCAGGCATTTGTGCTTCTGAGCTAAACCCCCCGGCCCCCACTATGTTTTTTGAGAAAGGGTCTTGGTATGTAGGTCAGGCTGGTCCTAAACTCAATACATAGCACAGGCTGGCCTTGAACTTGCAATGATCCTCTTGCCTTAGATTCTTCAGTAGCTAGGATTATAGGCATGTGCTATTGTGGTCAGCAAATTTTCTTTTTTTATGGTGCTGAGGATGTAACCCATGACCTTGCATATACTAGGTAAGCCCTCTGCCACTAAACCAAATCTCCATCTTTGTTATTTTTAAGAGTGAAAGAACACTCACCTGTATAGAACAGTCACCCTTTATTTGTGTACAGATGGACACTCTTTGGCTACTGCACAACACATCACTGAACATGTATGCACATATTTTATTTTTTACATACCTGTTCCCAGCTCTCTTAGATATATTCCTAGAAATGAAATTGAATTTGTTTTATTTTGGATTTTAGGCTGCCAGCAAGGCTGCACAGGCAGCAGGGCCCTGTGTGCCCTTATATAGCTCAGTTTGCTATGCTGGCTCCTTATCATATCAGGAAGGCTTCAAGTCCCTTGATGGTATCACCTCTCAAGGACAAAAAAAAAAGGCTTAAGAGTTGCCTCTTCTTGGGACAGGGAGAGACATCCTGGAAACCCATGTCATGCACAGATGATGCCAAGTGTGTACTAAACATGAATTCCACATCTGGTACTTTGGCAGGCAGAGGGGATACTGGGACCCAAGACATGGACCCTCTTCATCAGGACTGGAGATTTCTTGTCCCTACTTTTCAGATGTCAGAGGTTTTGAGAAGAAGAGGCACCCCACACAAGTAGGGAAGCAGTTGCACCAGGATAGCTTTGCAAGAACCTCCCACTTTCACAGGAGGTCCTAGGGCCTGTGACCTTGGAATCACTGCTAGTGGGCAGGAAATACTCTAGGCCTTGTCAAAGCTGCTCAGACACAGCAGGACTTTTTGTTTTGTGGTACTGGGGGTTGAAATCAGGAGTTTTACAATGAGCTACATTCCTATCCCCTGTTTACAGTTTTATTATTTTGAGTTACGGTCTCATTAAGTGGCTAAGTTGCCTAGATTGGTGTTAAATTTGTGATCCTCCTATTGCAGTCTCTCAGTGCTGGGACTATAGGCATGAGTCTCCACATCTAGTTTATATAAACACAACTCTGCAACTTTAACTTCGACTTGATTACCCAGTTCCTCACCCCAAAATGAACCCACAGTAACTGCAGATTGGTTCTGGGCATAATACCGTGGTCTCCCCTTCAGGCCCACAGCCTCTGTGCATGCCCTGTGTTATGTCCCATCAGTCCTCTCAGGCCATTCTAGTTGGTAATGCCTCTGGAAATGTTTTTTTTTTTTTTTTTTTTTTTTTTTTTGGTACCAGGAATCAAACTCATGACCTCACACTTGCCAGGAGGCCTGCTGTGCCACTAAGCTATATTCCCAGCCTCAAAAATTAGACACTGACTTTTTTTTTCTTTTTGGTACAGGAATTGAACTCAAGACCTTGCACTTGCCAGGCAGGTGCTCATACAACTGAGCTATATCCCTGACCCTTGGTAATGCCTTTGGAAAAGCTATAAAAACACTCTGTCCAACTTATGTAAAAACATTTGGGGAGAGCTGGTTGTGGTAGTACATGGCTGTAATATTAGCACTAGGGAGGCTGAGGCAGGAGGCTAGTTACAAGTTCGAGACCAGCCTGGGCTACAAAGGAAGCTGAAGGCCAGCCTGAACTGTGTAGCAAGACACAGTTCAAAATAAAAAAACAAAAATACCACCTTTGGGGAAACTAGGAGATGAAGACATCCAGCCATGTAGATAAGCCCTGCAATGGCAGGCGGGAGGTAGACAATGATCCAGTTGACTTACATTATAAAAACATAAGTTTTGTCTGATCCCTTGCTACTTTAAAGAAATCTTTCATGATCACTAACCACAATCCTGTCTTCTAGACATTGGTTCATTCTGCTGCATATATTTGAAATAGAATTTTTAATCTCTTGGATTTCATTTCTTTCCTATGCTGGGTATTCATGGTTTCCATCATTATCCTAATAATAATCTCTATTTTTTAAAAAAAAACCTCTATTTTTTATCTTTATTTAGTCTAGATTCACTAATTATGCCCTTCAGTATGGTTATCATCTCTGAAATTATCTGAGAAATTATTTCTGATTTGATTTTTTTCTAGAGCCTCATTCATGAGTTTTGTTGCTTCCACTGTTACCACTTCAGAGTCTAGCTGGGTAGTTTTTGAATTGTTCCATCTTACTGTTCCTGGGTTTGCCTTTGGCAAACTGGAATTCTGGGATTACTTCTTGCTTCCATGTCTTCTCATTTTCTTTTCTTTTTTTTTTTTAGCTTAATTCCTACTTTGATGCTTATAAATTATTTATGGTGGGTACTTTTATTGCTAGTATTCCAAAATGACTACTGAGAAATGTCTTTCAGGTTTAGCTGGCTTTTTGGTTTTGAGTCTGTTGCAAGATCCTCTTCAATTTATTAGTGATTAGAAATTGATGCCTAGGGGCTGGGGATTTAGCTCAGTGGCATAAGCGCCTGCCTTGTAAGCAGGCAGCTGTGAGTTCGATCCCTGATACCGATAAAAACGAAAAAGACAAAAAAAAAAAAAAAAAAAAAAAGAAATTGATGCCTATTTGGCTAAGCCCCTGGTTCTTACACATTGGGCTATATTTAATTATTATAACCTGGGATCACTGGGAAATCTCAGTCTTGGCATACAAGGAAGAACAACTGATTAGAACAATTATATAATAACTGTAATAACAACAGCATCAAACAGCCTAGAAAATGACAAACTATGGTAACAATTAATTTGCTACCTTTAACTGTAAGATTTGTAGTTACACAACAAAATCTGAAACAAACCAGAAAATTGTATGCAGTGAATATCTCAATATGATTTTACCCTTAAGAGAGACAATTTAGAAGGGATTAGGGGAAAAAAATAGAGAAGAAAATGAGATTAGAAGGATGAAGAACAAAGGAGGATTACGCAAGCTCTGGGAACTGATGAAGAAGCAGAGGGAAAGAAAGAAGAAACAGAAACAAGAACACAACAAAACAACAAAAAAATAGAAACAATGTTCATACTCATAAAAACAAGAACAAACCATCAAGAAAAAGACCAAAGTGGGGGCTGGAGGTTTAGCTCAGCGGCATAAGCGCCTGCCTTGCAAGCAGGCAGTTGTGAGTTCAATCCCCGGTACCGATAAAAAGGAAAAAGACAAAACAAAAAAGAAAAAAAAAATTACACAGCAAAGAAAGGAAGAGAAGTAGGAAAAAAAAAAAATCATTTTCAGTGTGTGTCTTTGTTGTCAGTGGTAGACAGAGCGAGCAGACAAAAGCCCAGATCCATGTTTACTGATCCTAGTGAGCTAGTAGTAGCATTACAGTGGTATTGGATAATCCCAGCAAAGCTGGGTTTTAGCTGCACTGAAGTTGGTTGCCACTTTACTCTTCTGTGTTGTGGCCCCTTCTTCATTCTCTCCCATGGCTCCAGTTTTTGCTTTAGGTCCTTGCTGGGTCCCAGGGACTCGTTTTCTTCTTTTCTTCCTTATGTTGATATATTTCAACAACTGGATTCCAAATATTGGAGAGGCTGTTTTTCTGCTGCTCACTATTCCTACATTGTCTCAGAAGTCCAACACAGTTTTGTCTGAACAGCACTTTCTCCCCTCTAGCACTAAGAATTGAACCCAGGACTTTTGAACTGAGATATACCCTCAGGCCATTTTAAAAAAAATTTTATTTTCCTTTATTTCTCAGTTTGAGAAGGGTCTCAATATGTAGTTGTCTGGTTTTGAGCTCACTTTGTAGCCCAGGCTAGTCTTAAACTTGCAATGATTTTCCTGCCTCAGCCTCCCACAGGCTGTGCTGGGATTACAGGTGTGCACCACCACATCCAGCAAATTATTTAATAATTGTCTCTCTTTTTTATTTTTTGGTACTGGGAATCAAACTCAGGACCTTGAGCTTACCAAGCAGGCACTGTACCACTAAGCTATATATCCCTAGTCCCTCCATTTTAATTTTGTGTCAGGGTCTCTCTATATTGCCCAGACTGAGCTAAGACTTGCCATCCTCATGTCTGAGCTGCCAAGAGTGTTGAGATTACAGGTGTGTACCACCGCAACTAGCTAAACAAGTACTACTTTCACCATTTTATCATTTAAAAATGAGCATCTGGTATCTTTTCTTGTAAGCCATGAAGAAAACCTATAAGAGGAACAAGCTGGTATGTTGGTGGTCGTGCCAATTCCTCATTAGTAGTGAAATTAATAAAAGGCATTTTTTTTTTAAAATAAAAGATATTCTCCAAGCTGAGCACGGTAGCACATGCCTGTTATCTCAGTTACTTGGAAGACTGAGGCACAAAGATTATGAATTCAAGCCCAGCCTAGACAAATAAGTGAGGTCCTACTTCAAAATTTAAAAAGGTAAGGGTGCTGGAGATATAGTGGTTGAGTGCTTGCTTAGTATATAGAGGGCCTGAGTTCAATTCCCTGCACTGAAGCAGGGGGAAAAAAGGTCCTCTTAAATCACAAAGCTACTATGCAAAATGAGGCCAAAGGTACAGTCATAAAGCCAAAACTCTCCTACCTTAACCCTCTGTTGTCCTTCCTCCTATGGGTCAGCAAACTTTTTCTGTAAAAGCCCAGGTAGTAAATATTTTTAGTTTCACAGGTCACATAGTCACTGTTACAACTACTCAGTATGAAAGTAGCCATCATTTGTAAACGAATAGGTAGAGCTACTTGCCAGTAAGTTTGTAAGAAGAGATTTGCTGACCCACTTCCTACATCTTATAACATTCTGTATTTTTCTATTCTTTTCTTTTTTTTTTTTTTAACAAGAAAATGAGGTGCATTTCTGCTGGTAACTACTGACTGTTCATATTCATGAAAACATCTACACTTGACTCAGGCCCTTGGCAGCCTCCAACAGACCACAAAGGAACCAGCAAAGTTAGCTTTCGCCTGCCCCACAGAGCTCCATATGAACAAGTTCATCATGTTTTTGCTGAGACAGAGCTAACCTTTGAACAGAGAAGAACAAATTGTTTTCCAAGCGTATTATGCTGGAGATATTTTTCCTCCAAGTAAGTCCAGAACCATGTTACTAGGTTGAAAGAGAAACAATATTGTGAGAACAAGGATGGAAGACCAACAAAAGTCCTCAAAAGGCTACAACTGCTCTAGGGAACCCTGAAAACAAAGGAAAAACAGACCTGGGTTCCTGGGTATTTTCCCTAGCACCTTCTTCTCAGCTTCAGTGCTGTTGTGGGCTTAACTATGGCCTCTCAGAAAGACCTGTTTAAGTCCTATGCCCTGGTATCTATTCTGAAAACCAACTTAATACCATCCAGCTGCCTGTCACTGCCATTGTCACTGTGCCCCCCATTTTGGACACTGAGGAGGGTCATTGAAGGTCACTTTCCACAAATGTGAGACAGAAGTTTTTTTTTTTTGGTACCAGGGATCGAACTCATGATTGTGTGCTTGCAAGGCAGGCACTTGTGCCGCTGAGCTAAATCCCCAGCCCTGTTCCTTGTTTTTTTAATTATTCAATTGTTTTTTAATTTAATTATTTTGTTGTTTTTTGTTTTTATAGTTCAGGCTAGCCTTGAACTCACTGTGTAGCCCAGGTTGGCCTTGAACTTGCAATGATCCTCCTGTCTCAGCCTCCCAAGTGCCTGGGCCAAGGTTCTGACTGCATGTCAGACAATGAATGACACTGGTCATAGCTCTTCTGCCTCTATTTCTCATCAGCCTGTCTTTATGCCTGGCTTATCTTTATTTCATCAGTATGTTCTTTGTTCTTTTCCCCCAGTAACATGTCCTGAGTCTTTATGGAAGGAGGATATACTTTACTTCCTTGAGGAGTGAACAAGAAAAATGTAAGCAGCTGTGTGTGGTGGCACTGCCTGTAATTCCAATAATTGGGAACCTGAGGCAGGAGGCTCACTACAAGTTCAAGGCCAACCTGGGTCATATAGTGATTTCAAGGAGTTTGAACTACACAGTGTGACCTTATCTCAAAAAAAAAAAAAAAAAATCTAATTGACTAGATGTTAGACGTGAGAAATTATAACAGGAGTTCACCTCATGCTCATTTAGAGAGAGAAGGTAAAAACACTGAGGTCAGATGTCCTTACACTGTCTTTGGCCCATTATCTGAGGTAGCAGAGAAAGCAAAAGGGACAAAGGCCTATTACTGGACAGATGCAGCTGTTAGCCAATGGCTCCTGTTTCTACTTCTCACTGATTGGTGCTTAGTGACCTCCAAAACATCACCAGTTGGGGCTGTGGATTTAGCTCAGCGGCATAAGCGCCTGCCTTGTAAAGCAGGCAGTCGTGAGTTCAATCTCCCGTATCGATAAAAAGGGAAAAGACAAAAAAACAAAAAAACAAAAAACAAAACAAAACAAAAAGCAAAAAAACCCAAAACATTACCAGTCAATTAAGAATTTCCCTGGCTAAGATATGAGTGTCTGGATTGTCAACATAAATTATGTTCTAGGAACTTGAACAAAGTCTTGGTGGCAGATAGGGTCTTTGGGACCTTTGATTTATGAGGAAAAGGTAATATTACCTAGCTACAGATATACATCTTAAAAAAAGTTTTACAAACTTAGTTGCGTAGGAAGTTTCTGGAACTGACTCTAAAGTCTGGCAGGGTAGCTGGTAACACTAGGGAAAAGGTAAAGAAGCCAAAGGTGAACGTGAGTTAAAAGACAGTTTGGAGGAATTTCACAATGAGGGAATTGCATTCCTGTACTGGCACAGAATGGGTACTGATAAAATGTCTTTTTTTTTTTTGGGGGGGGGGTTGGTTGGTACCAGGGATCGAACTCACGACCTTGAGATTGCAAGGCAGGCACTTATGCTGCTGAGCTAAATCCCCAGCCCCATGATAAAATTTCTTAAATAATGTGCTGAGAATCTAAAATTAGCTTCAAGAACTGGGCATGGTGCTGCACAACTGTAATCCCAGCACATGGGACAGTGACACACAAGGATCACTGAATTTTGGGCCAGTCTGGGCTATACAGAGAAGCGTTTTTTTTTTTTTTTTTTTTGGCAACATTCTAATTTTAAGACTAGCCTGCAATACATAGTGAGACCCTGTCTCAAAACAAACCCAAAACAACAAATCAGCTTCAATACTGTACTTACGGACTCCTTACTCTCCTCGCTGTACTGGGGACTGAACTAGAGACAGTCTACCACTGAACCATATCCCCCAGCCCTTAATTTTTCCTGCTACAGTCTTGTTAAATTGCCCAGACTTGATAGGTATGGTGGTGCACATGTGTAATCTTAGCACTTGGGAGAGGATGAGGCAGGAGGATCACCCTCAGTTTGAGGCCAGCCTGGCTACATAGTGATTTCAAGGGCAGCCTGGACTACATAGTGAGACCCTGTCTCCAAAAAAAAAAAAAAAAAAAAAAGAAAGTTGCCCAGGTTGGCTCTGAACTTTTGATTTCTCGCCTCAGCCTCTCAAGCAGCTAGAGCTGGGTGTGGTAGTGCACATCTATAATTTCAATACTCTGGAAGACTGAGGCAAGAGGATAGAAAATTTGACCCCGATTTAGCAAGATCCTTTCTCAATGTAAAAAGGTCTGGGGGATGTAGCTCAGTGCAAAGGCCCTGGATTCAATCCATAACACTGTACAACAAGGTAAGAAAAACAAAAGCAACAAAATAGAACCTCAACTTTTTTTGGACTCAAAGAGTTGGGTTTAGGACAGTACCCTCATCATCTTGCTCAGGCAGCCACTGAGAACTGAACCCAGGCTGGGAAGCATAAGGAACCTGGAACCATGACATAGCCTGTATGCGACTTGGGAGCGAGGGCCAGGCTGTAGGTCGGTTTGGGCAGGAGACGGCTTCCTCCTGGTACTCCTAGACAGAGCCAAGCCCAGCAGTGAGAGGCCATGCGGCAGCCTGTCCAAAGTGTGAAAATTTGCCAGCCTCAGACCTTCATCTCTAAGCCCAGCTGTCTCTTTTCTGCAGGGAAAGCCCGGGTTTCACTCAAAGTGTTTTCTTTATTTGTGCTGCAGGGTTTTTAATGGGGAGGGAGGCAGCAGTGGGGAGTGATCTCACTTGTGCCTTCATGCATTAATTATTATTATTATTTTTTGTCTTTTTCATTTTTATCAGTACCAGGGATCCAACTCAGGACCACACACTTGCAAGGCAGGCGCTTATGCCCCTGAGCTAAATCCCCAGCCCCTCAAGCATTAATTAGAACAGTTCCTACATTGGGAGGCTGAGGCAGCAAGACTGCAAGTTTAAGATCAACTTACTGAGACCTCTCAAAAATATAAAGGGCTGGACATGTAGCTCAGTGGTAGTGCACCTATGGTTCCATACCCAATACTTAATTTTAAAAAAAGGCTGGAGATTTAGCTCAGTAGTGTGAAAGTGCCTGTCTGGCAAGTGCGAGACGGTGAGTTCAATCCTGGTACCAAAAAAGTAAAAAAAAAAAAAAAAGAGAGAAGAAAAAAGTAAAACGAAAAATAGTAATCTGCTGCGGGGCTGGGGATTTAGCTCAGCGGCATAAGCGCCTGCCTTGCAAGCAGGCAAAGACCAAAAAAAAAAAAAAAGAAAAGAAAAATAGTAACCTGGTTCTGTGATATGTAAGATAAATAAATTTTAAGATATGTTAAGATGAATGAATTTTGTTTTATTTTTTTGAGATAGGGTTACAACATGTAGTTCAATCTGACCTTGAACTCACAAACCCACTAGGCAGGCCTCCAATTTGCACAGTAATCCTCCTGTGTCAGCCTCGTAGGCTGAGATTACTTACAGGTGTGTGCCATCACGCCCGCCAGAAAATGTTGTAAAAGAAAATGCTTCCAATCATCTTCAGCTAATTCAAGAACATAGATAACACTACATTCTCAAATTCAAAGACAGAAACACTTCTTAATGAACAAGATCCATTTAAATCATCGGAGTAAAAAAGCAAGTTTACACTGGGGCTTAATCTCTTGCTTTTGGAAATTCAACAGCGTTCACCGGAATTAAAACTTTAGACTCGATTTTGGGGCTTAGCTCCAGGGATCAAGGACGATATAGCTATGGCAAGGTTTACAGTACTCATCTAGCTCACCCGGCCCTTCCACCCGCGCTCACCTGCGGTCACGTCCGATTCCACCAAGACCCGCTGGCTCACGAAGCGTCGCGCGCCATTCCCGCCACGGGCCGCCGCCTCAGCGCCAAGCCAGACCCCTACGGACCAGGACCAGACGGAGGGCTAGTTAGCACAACGGGCGAGTCCCATCGTCCTGATCCTATTCCCAGGGACTCCATCCTCCAACCCATCATTTGCCCATACCGCACCCGCCCGCAGCAGCAGGGTCTTCCCTGCAGCAAAGGTCTTCCGCCCCGCCACCAGCGCCATCTTGCTCCACCACTGGATTGCTGCGCCGCTTAATCCCCATTGGGCTCCTCCCCCGTCTCGCCCCGCCCCACACTATCCGACCTATCCGGGAGCAGATCCTGGCCCTGCGGAGTTAGTCAGGGTCCTACCCGCTCAAGAGGAGGGTCAAAGTCCCGGGCTCGCGTTGGGGGAAGTGCCCAGAAATGATTCAAGTCACCCTCTCAGAGAGCAGTAGGTCACCGCCTCAGAGAGCAGGGCGGCCTGATGTGGCCACAATAACGGGGGATGGGGGTGGAGGGGTGGTGTTTGCAGCAGACTGAACGCTGGAAGGCCAGGCCCAGGCGCTAAGTAAACAATGAAAGGACACGAATAATTTGTTTAGCCTGTGCACTGCTGTCCAGTGTGGTGTCGTTTTGACTACTGCAATAGTAGATACAGGGGCTGGGGATAAACAGCGGCAATGAGCGCCTGCTTGGCAAGGGCTAGGTGTGAATTTGATCCTTGGTACCAAAAAAAGGAAAAAAAAAAAACAAACAAAAACAAAAAAACCCCATCTCTATCCTGTTTGCTCACAGGAGTAACCTAAAACTCCTAGGTACACTAACCCAAAGTTTTTCTGACCCAAAGGTTTTGGAGGTGTCACTTTGGAAACAGTAATTTATCTGGTCTGGCATCAAAAATCATGATTATGTTAAGCAGTTCTGGGAATTAAAGAACAGTGAAACCAGTACTCAATCTTCATTCTAATCCTAGGTTTATTCAATACAATTTCTTTATTCTACACAACAAAGTACAAACACAATCTTACCTAAAATGCTACAAAGTTACAAAACTCAAATTTTATAGCACTGACTGTACAATAAAAGCCAAAAAAGCAATGTACATGTTGCCAAGGTAACCTGAACAGCAGGTGACATGGAGGGGGCTCCATGATGATCTGCAAAGCTTGCTCTCAAACTGCTCACCACAAAGAGTAAAGGAGACAAATGGGGGTGGGGATGTAGTTGAAAACATAGAAAGAACCATTTATGGCAATTAACAGAGGGCAGGAGGGCCTTTTCAAGGTGTTTGACCCTAAAGGCTGGAAGAGGACTCAAGTAGGAATCAAAGGGCCAGGCCTAATAGGAATGGCAGATTGGTTCCCAGTATATGACCAGATTGCCACACTCTCCCTAAATCATCTGGAAAGGCTGAGGCAACCTGTTACCTGTAGGCTTGCTTGTTCCTATAAGCTCTGCCACTGACTCTCAGGAGATGGGAACGGGTGAACTTCCTAGACAGAAAACTGTGGGGTGCCTTTCCAGACACAAGCCTGAATCAACAGCACTTCTGCAGCCAGAACCTGCCTGAGGACCAAGTGTGTCCACTGCTGCCTTTGAAGGCTGTTTGAGGGAGGGATCCTCTCCTACTGCTCCACCTTAGGCTAGAGAAGTGACAAAACTGAGCTGAGTGGGACATAAGTTACAGCAGTGAGCATCAGTGGCCTTGCTTATCGGGAAGAATTGGAGCTAGAGCGGCTCCTATGGCGGCGGCGGCCAGGAGAACGGGACCGCCTGCGTACGGGAGACCTGCGTCTTGGGGAGCGTGACCTGTGGGAAAAGAAGAGGCTAAGTCAGAACATCAGAAGCAAAAGTCCCAAGAAGGAATGATGCAGCGCAAGCTGGCTTCTTTCTGGGATAATCCTTTGTGATTTATTTTGCAGCACTAGAATCTGTGACCTCTGCTCAGAGAATTATCCCTCTGCTGTTCTACTGACTCCAGAATTCCTCCTTCCTAATTTGTCCTGTTTTCCAACTAAGAATGGAAAAGAATTCATAGTTTACTGCTTATTCAGGAGGTAAGTGGTCCTGACAGAATCCCACAACCTCTTTGCTTATTACTGTCTCATATCATGACTGCCATTCTTTCCCAAAAAGCTTCTAAGGGCCAATATGCTAAACTGCACTGAATAAAAGATCCCAAAGTCATCACAGTCACATAGGCTTATACATCAAACAGAGCAGTCTGATGAGGCCAGTGATACTCCAAATTGACATACCTTCTTCTCATCCGTGGAGGTGACCTACGCCACATAGGAGGTGGTGGTAGCATTCTCCTGGGAGGGCTGAATCGACGGGGAGGCGGTCTAGGCCAGGGGGCCAGCACAGCAGTAGCGGTGATCTCTTGACCATCAATTTGTCCTATGGTAAAAGGACCAAGTCATAAAGCCAACCCAGGCAAAGCACCAAGCCAGAGGCTGGGCCCATAACAGTGAACCAAGGGACAAGAAACAACTACACTAGGACTGAAACTCACCAGGAAAAACTAAATGTGGCATGGGTTCTGACTGTGGACACTAGGTCAATGTGTTGGGTTCCAGAGCAAGTGGTACTCAAGCAAAGGCCTAAATATGCTAGATCTTGCTAAGCAGAAAGGCAAGTTTCAAAAAGCAGAAAAGAGGCAGATGTGGAGAGACTGATAAGATAAACATAAGGCTGGAAGACAGGATGAGGGACTTCCTGGAAGGCCACAAAGTGGCATGAGTATCTGAGCTTCTTTCTCAGGCACAGAGGTAAGTTGTACTAGGCCAAGTGAAAAAAAGCCTGTCAGGAAGTTTCCACAGCACTGAGATGAAATGATACCTAATTGAAGGAAAGGGAAAATTCAGGGGATCACTGGGAAATAAATTGGCTGAATGATGATGGCTTGCTGGGAGTGGTAGGGTAAAACTCTGTTGTGGTATAGTATGAAAGAGGCCTTGGGAGAAATTTACATGAAGACAGTATTAAACACTACATGTAGGACAGAAACTCTGTAGAGTATAATAAAGAGTACATTCTGTAGGGTGTAATGAAGAGAATCAACAAAAGACCCTAAGGCACAGACCTGGGAACTCACAACCTCAAGAAGTTGTCTTCAGAGTTAGAGGTATTTAAAGTCCACACATAGCCCCTTTCACGTCCGCAAAGGGCTCTCATCCTCTCAGCTCCTTTCTTGCAAGGTACCCAGGAACTAACTCAGGCACGTGAACTTAGAATACTTAAGAAACTTTACCTAGGTAAACTGTAGGGTAGCTCGTGGCCCATTGCCAAAACCATTTCAAATTAGGAATTTCATAGCACTACACTTGTTTTAACAGAGACAAATCCATCTTTTGGTAGGCTCTCAGTAAAGGTCAACTTCTTCCACTTTGCCCTAGAAACAGCACAATGGGGGATGGATACAAAAATCCTACCAGGATCTTCAGATAGTTTTCATATTCATACCCACACTGGATGTCCCTCAGTCTTCTAAGTTTTTAAGTGGATTAACAAGTGCTCAGTCTCTGTCAAACACCAGATGAATAGGAGATTCTAAAATGAAGGTATAATTCACAGAGTCCAGAGCTGATATGAGGGATATGCAGTTTATGCTGTGCTCCTGAAAGATGTAGGAGACTTTAAAGTTAGCTAAGGATCAAGGAAAGAAAATTTTAACGCCAGAGCTTTGTCAGTACTCAAAGTCAATTACAAAAAACCTACAGTAAAACCAAAAAACCCTCCCCCAAAACAAAAAAAACTTGTTGAGCTATCTAAGAAGCTTACCACAGAGCTCCAGAGGACTCTGAGATTTTGGGGCATTCAGAATCTCTTTCCCATCTGGGCCTTGCTATACCCATATAGTACTGTGCTGCCTGTTCACAGCCTCGTCTGCCCTAATCACAGCAGCAGAGACAAATTCTATTCCTTAAAATGTTGACTTCAAGGCCAAATGAAAACTGGCAACCCAAAACTGTGAGTGTTCGTATGCTTTCAAAACTATTCCACTCAACACAACTATAAATATTATGGAGCTTAAATACATAGAGGTTTGAGAAATGCATCAATTTTGTGAATTCAGTAAAATCTGTCACCTAGCAAAATACTCCTAAAACATGCTGAAATGTGGGCAAAAGAAAATGACCCAAATGACGAAAGAAAATATTCTTTTTTTCATTTTTTTTATCGGTATCGGGGATCGAACTCACGACCGCCTGCTTGCAAGGCAGATGCTTATGCTGCTGAGCTAAATCCCCAGCCCCAAGAAAATATTCTTACAAAAAGCCTAGTATATTCTTTATAAGAAAAGCTTTATTTGATCCTTAGACTTAACAGACTGAAAATTTCTTAAAGTGCTAATATACTCATATTTGCAGAATTTTCAAAAAATAGTATTTCATAAAACATGTTATTGATAAACACACCTACACTGAGTAAGAATTGGAATCCCAAAAGAGCTCCAGTAAAACTCAAGTACAGCTTGAATGGAAGTAAGCTGGAAAGAACTCTATGGGTCATGGGTCTCCATGAGGACAGAGGTGGGGGGGTCAAAGGGTGCTAACAGAGTAACCTACCTCCATCCATGTGCTTCAGTGCTTTCTCAGCTTCATCTGGGTTCTCAAACTCCACATATGCATAGCCTTTGGACAGATGAGGATGCATCCTTTCTACAGGCATGTCAATCATTTTAATTTTCCCGTAGGTAGAAAATATCTCCATGATGTGATCCTATAGGGAAAGGATTATACCACTAATGCTCATTAACCGCACGATGACTAAGCCTCAGCTGTGCAAAAATGTGTCATCTGACAAGAAGCCCACTGTCACACCACGCCATGTCTCCTATATAGATATTTAACAGTCCATTGAAAGGAATAGGGGCTGGGGATATGGCTCAGTGGCACAAGCATCTGTCTGGCAAGTGCGAGGTCCTAAGTTTGATCCCTGGTACAAAAGAGGAAAAAAACCTCAAAAAACCCACCAGACTAAACCAAACTGAACTAGAATTAAACCAGTGTACTATTTGAACAGGTAGGCTATGCTCTAGGCACACCTGCTGCCAGGGGCCTGCCTGTGTACACTTGACTGTCCCCAGAATGGATTTGTGATCCTTTACCTTTGTCACATTCCTGGTAAGTCTTCCAATGTGCACTTTGGTAGGTTTAGGAGAAGGGCTTCGCCTTTTCCTCTCCTTTTCATCTCTTTTAGGTGGTTTGGATCTGATAGAAAACACCAGAAACAATCTGTGTATGTCAAGTCAAAGTATACTGGATTTAGACTGGGTGTGAGTGGTACAGCAGTACCTTAAC